ACGAATTCAAACATTAATAAGTTGTACTTATACATAATTTACTTGTAATCTTGAATTTTTAAGTAATATGCATTAATAAACAGTATTTCATGCATAAAAAAAGATTTTTAAGAGTTTTTGTCAAATGTTTTATAATATAGTATAGATAAATCATTTGATAAAAATTATTAAAAAAAAACCCAATTTTTATGCATGAAGTACTGTTTTACTGATGCATATTACTTAAAATTCAAGATTACAAGTGATTTTGAGTAAGTACAACTTATTAAAGCTTTATTTTTTAATTCGTTTAACTAACTGCAGATAAAAATAATTAAATAGAGAATAAACATCTATTTTAAATATAGCAAATCTAAAATATAATTAAGATAATAATTGAGTTTCTAACAGAATGTTTAATTATTATCTTTAATAAAAATTATATTATTAAACCAAAAATAAATTACTTTGTTATTACACCTAAATTAAAATTATAATAAAAACTTGAATTAAAGAAGTTACATCAAAAAAACGAGAACTATTAAATAGTTAATTTGATATTAATATCAATTTTTTTTATATACTATCTTCAATTTTATATTTCATTCAAAAATAAAAACATTATCGTTTTCTCTAAACCATATAAAATTGTATTATATCGATAGAGACAAATAATAAAAACTAAACATTAAAATAAAGATTTATTTCGCTGCATTGCGCGAGTACTCTTCTAGTATCTACAAAAGTAGAGGAGACATAACAAAATTGTAAGTTACACGTCAATATTTCTTTCTTTTTAAAGGTAGCAACAACTTTATTAGAACAATAAAACAAAAGTAAAACCTTTTAGTAAGCTACAGAAAACAACCCAATACATCAAAAGACAAAGTCAAAAGTAAGAACCAGTAAGTGAAAGAACAAAACAAAATCCGAAATCTAAAGAAACGACAAAACCATGCCTAAAAATGAACTACACATAGAAATCTTGACCATTACACCATTCCGATCAAAACAAATTGAAACATTTAGTACGCTTGGAGATTCATTGGAATCTTGACCACTACACCATTCCGATCACCAATTGCCCTCCCCCTAGGCTCCCTTGCCCACTCACACAACCACACCATCGTTATCCATGTTCACCACTCGGTTGCAAAGCAAAGCCTCCTTTTAAATTCCAACCTGTAAAGCATTGGAAATCTCTCACAAATCCGAAAATTACCTAACCATTTATCCCTCCAAAAGAGAGTGTCCTCCCATCGTCATCCCATTTTTTTCTAAGTCTGCACACATGCATAATCCACCCCAAGCACCCACCAAGCCGAACCTCGAATCATAGACGGACCTACAGTAGAGCATACAGTAGCACATGTTGTCGTATTATTTCTCCGTCAAAGGGTAAAATGTTTTAAGTTCGTGAATGTGCAACACTATTAATTTGTTGCGTGTCATCATATGTATTTTGAAACTACAATGAGAACAAGTTTTAGTTGGTAGAGTTGGTTTGCAAGTCTTTTATTCCACACCAAACCCAAATTCGAATCATGTTAGTGTCATTTTTTTAGTCAAATGGTGTCAACATTTGAAAAAACTTCTATACATTTGTTTCTTATAGTTAAATGGTGCCACCATTTAAAAAATCCTATATTTTTTTCTTATAGTCAAACGTGCCACCATTTGAAACTCGAATTCCCTACGCCTCCTAATCCCATCATCACCATATATTCTTCTAATGACCCGAACCTATAACACTTCCTTACTTGGCATAAAACGCCGCCACCACTTTCCTAGGAGAACCCAATTAGAAGCCCAAAGACTACCAACCCCTACCCCCCCCCCCAATATTTTATACAAGCCAACTTACGAGAAGAATCCTATCCCCCGCGGCCCCGCCCAAGAAAAAGTTGTGTTCCGCATTCTCAAGGGACTTGATAATTTGAGTCTGACACTCAAAAAGGTAGAAAAAGTATAAAGGCAAGCTACCCAAAATAGATTCAATCAACATTAATCTACTATGAGAGGTTGTAGAGTTTCCAATTGGAGAACTTGGATTTGAAGCGATTAATGATGATGTTCCAGGAATCGACATTGTTCATATTTTTCCCTACCGCGACTCTGAGAGACCGAGCCACCGAGGTATGCAAAAGGAAGGACCTCACATTCTTTTATCGGTCTATCTCACAATCATGTAAAAGGTATGAACGGTTCGAAACATCATGTTTCATAATTTGTTTATATTGTAATTGTATGATTTATGAATATAAAAACATGTTCAATGAAAAAACAACGTATATTCATATGATTCAACTTGACTTGGAATTTTAATTGCGTTTTCAACAAGACGAGTTTTAAAATAAATAAGCTTTGACTTGAGAATGGTTGAGAATGGTCTGGTTCTTTCTCTCCGTCACGCCATTTTGTTGGGGATAGTAGGCAGCAATTAACTGTCTTTTAATTTCATTTAAGCTACAATATTCTTTGAACTCAGAAGAAATGTATTCCCCCCTCGGTTCGGAGACACATGATGGTTGTACCTGCTTCCTTCTCCACCATGGCTTTAAATCTTTTGAAGATGTGGAGTACCCGTGATTTTTCAACAAGGAAAAATACCCAACATTTTCTAAAAAATCATCTATAAACGTTGCAATATACCGTTTTCCGGTGCAAGATTCTGGAGTTATCGGTCCACACAGGTCTGAGTGAACTAGTTGTAACCTTCGAGTGGCTCTCCACATGCTTTGCTTTGGAAACGAATCACGTTGTTGTTTTCCGGATACGCAGTCTCGACACACCTTTACTGGAGGTTTGATGCTAGGTAGGCCTTCCACCATTCCCTTAAATTGTAATGTTCTCAACCCCTTGTAACTTAGATGCCCATATCGACAATGCCACAGGCGCGTGAGATCTTCATCAGTGGTCTTGTAGCAAGTAGGCTCAGTAGGTACCACATTGGCAGCGATCATGAACATGCGGTTGGCATTCATCTTGGATTCCATAATAAGCCCCCTCCTTGGGTGAAATATTTTACACACTCCTTTTTGGATGAGAATTGCTACTCCTTTTTCTTGCATATGGCCTGCACTTAGTAGGTTACTCGTTAACTCAGGAATATAGTACACATAAGTCATTACCTGTATGATACCATTGATATGTATCCTCACATTCCCTTCTCCCATCACTTCCATCCTTGTGTTGTTGTCAAGCTTCACGGAGTGCCTATAATCCTCATCAAGATCACAAAACCAAGCCTTGTTTCCACTCATATGGTTACTGCATCCAGAGTCAATAAACCAAATTTGATCTTGTGAGACCTCATCATTAACATTAAAGCATGTATGATCTGTTATCTTCTTCCTGATGTTACAATGGACCATCAACACCATCTCTTTAGTATCATCATTATCTTCAGCATAATTAGCCTTCTTCTCATGGTTAGGGCATTCATAATGGTAATGGCCTAAGCGATGACAATTGTAGCACTCCGCCAATGCTTTGTTAAACGATCCTCTTCCCATAGACCTGCCTCTTCCTCTATAACCACCCCTTGATTCTCGTCTTCCTCTAGAAGTAGACCAGTGCCCTCTCTTTTCCTCCGCAATCTTCAATGCTTGCTCATCCTCTCATTGACCAAGTAGTCGTTGCTCTTGAACCAAACGTGTGCTATGAAGCTCATCAATGGTCATCGTATCAGTGTTGTCGGCCTTCTCAATTGAACATACTACATAATTGAATTTAGAGGAAAGAGATCTCAAAACCTTAGACACCACAGCAGCTTGCCCGAGAACTTCACTGTTAGCTTTCATTTTGTTGACAATAACCAATAGTCTGGCTAAATAGGCATCAACACATTCTCCATCTTTCATGGAGAGTAGTTCATACTCTCTCCTTAAGGCATGAAGTTGAGCTCTTTTGACTTTGGTGGAACCTTTATATTTCTTCTTCATGGATTCCCAAATGAGTTTTGAAGATCCCTTGTCAAGGATGGTCTCAAGGATCTCCTTGTCAATAGCTTGAAATAGAAAGTTTTTTCACCTTCATATCCTTTAACTTGGTATCATCAACAGCCTTTTTCTGAGCATCACTTGTGTGTGCAGCAACTGGTGTTGGTGGTATCCCGTCCTCGATCATGCTCCACATCTCCTTACTTCTGAGAAAGTTCTCCATTAGCATAGACCAATATAATAACCACCGAAGCTGGGAATTGCAGGTTGGACAAATTTCTCTAATTTGTCTCCGGAGGAAGAAGCCATAATTTCTTGCACAATGATATGTTATCACTTGATGCACCCTTCAATAAAGACAAGGATCTGCTATCATTGGTTCTTAGCTCTGTTTCTCACCACTCACGATCTGCAATCTGGGTCTCTTGAGTCGCTCCGATACCACTTGTTAAAGCTAATAGATTAATAACAGTAGAAAATATCAAAGCTGATTGCGTTTTATTGAGGTAACAAAGGAGGCTTTTTATAGCCAAATACATGTAAGGGGAATAAACAGAATTGCTAAAAAACAAGAACTAAAGACTATTAAATAAAAAATAATAACAGTTCCTGAAGCTTCTGGAACATTGTTATTCAATTATTTGACTAAATCAAACAGTAACTATCTAAAGTCAGCTTCCTTAAATCCCAACAATATTCAAGCCACCCAGCGACATGAACGTCGATGAATCCAGACCATCCAATGAACTTTTCGACACAAAATTTTCGATGCTAGCAATGGATACTGATATTAAGGAGAAGATGATGATGATGATGGATAGGTTTGTGGCAAAGAGAGATTATTATATCGGAAAGTCGGAAAGGCCTTGGTTGCTCGGTGGAGTTGCATTATCGGCTATGGAGGTTTTTTGGTGTCGACGGCGAACCTCAATATTGGTTGTGGAGCACCTTGATTTCTTAATGGAGTTGTATTATCCGAAGGTCACAAGGAGGCGAAAGCTTTTCAACTCGGGAAAATCAACAATAAGGAAGAACATAGGAGTAGTAATCCCAACTTTTTACTCAAATTAAGACATGTATATTAAACCAGTTAATTCAATTAAAATTATGTAAAATGAAATAATAAAATTTATAATTATTTATTTTCATTGATATTATGTGAAATTTTAATTATCAAATACAAGAAATATGTGACATGTCATGATTATTGACGTCATGTCATTTTTTCAGATTTATACTTTAATTTAAATACGACATTGGATATTAGTTGGCGTTTACTTAACCCACGTCATCATTAGTAGGTCATCAGGTCAACGAGACCCTTAAATAAATGAAAAGTTTGCTTGAGACACTTTAATGATAATTTTAAGAGTTAATTTCCTAAAGTAAGAATAAAGATAAAGTTGGTCCATTTTGATGCAATTTTTCCTCTAGCGTATGTTTGTCAAATAATGTTTTATACTATTAATTGTCACATCAACAAAAAGCACTGACGTCACATTAGCAATTACCAAAAACTAATTTTTTTATGAAAAAGGAAAAATCTTTACAACCAACACGATTTCCTAACTAGAAATCCTATACGGCAATTAGAAACCAGCAGAAATCCATTAGGAATTCTTTAGTTTCTGTTTGGTTTGCAAGAATGAAATGGATTTGGAGGAATCCTTTAGATTCTGTTTAGTTTGCAGAAATGAAATGGATTTGGGGGATTCGGATTTCAAATCCATTTCAATCTCATATTTGGTTTATTGGATCCTGATTTCAAATCATAGAATTTAATTGAAATCTTACAAACATAGGATTTTGAAATCCTTAAGGAATGTTCGGGATTTCATAGGATTGTATAAGATAAGGTTTAAAAAATGTTAAAAATATTTTTTTTGTAATAATCAATTAGTAAAAATGTAATTTAATTATTTTTACATGTTTTTATAAAATAAATGGAATCCAACATCATTCCAAATCCTACAAACAAACACGTCAATAATTTCAAATCTATTCCAATCAAAATCTTTGGAAAACAATTCTGCAAACCAAAAGGACCTGGTCATATGGGTTTTGTTTATGTATGTGTATATTAGAGCAAATTACATTTTTTTTGTCTCTGTAATAATCTAATTTACATTTTATTTATTTATTAAATAACAATGATATAGAAATTCAAAATAACTAACATATCCTTGATTTAACGGGTTCTTTTAACAGCCGTTAAATGGAGGAACCAAATTTGGTCCTTTTTTTATATCACAATGGTAAATATAGAATTTCAAAACTGTAGGGACCAAAAGTGTCAAAACTACCAAACAACAGGGATCACATTTGTAGTGTACTCTTATTTTAAATAATTGTTAATTTGTACAAAAACAAAAATATGCCTTGATCAAAATTGGTTTTCAAAATAGAACCATTTTCGCCCTAAAAAGCTTTTCATCGTCTACCGAGTATGTTTAATGGATTTCTTTCAATTGTTGTTGCAGAGCCTCAGGTTTAGTTTCTATTTCTGAGGTAACCTTCTTGTTCTTCTCTATCTTTTCGTACTGTTTTAGTTTTGATGTTAGAAGCAGAAATTCTGAATTCAGAAGTTCGAATTGGGATGTAGTTTTTTGGTGCAGAAACGAGAAAATTCCCGTGAATTTTAGGTTGAAGTTTCATAGATTAGTGCTGTAATAAGTTTCAGTTCTTTAAGTGCAATCATTGAACTTCTTCTCTATATCTAATACGCGGATTTTTGTGAATTTTGAAGTTGAGAAAACAACTCATTCGAAACTCAAAAGTGGAAGAAGGTAACATAATTTAGTATTCTGGATTTCCTTTCGTTTAAATTTATATGAAGCTTAAGTATGCATGCCGATTGATCATGAGAGAAGGAAAAGAAGAAGAAGAAAAAGATCTAAACACAGCGGAAAAAGTGGAAATTGAAAGATATCAGATTGCTAGTCTCATGTCTTATAATTATCATGTGTCCATTTCCAAGCATTTGTTAAATCCTGTGTTAACTACTAAATACCAAGCCTCAAACTGCCTTAAAAGAATTAGATGCTTCCAATAGAAGATATGTTTTAAAGTTTCTAGCAGCCTAAATAAGCTTTTAGGACAAACCAATATATATATATATATATATATATATATATATATATATCTGGACTTTGATTATTGGTTCCTGACATTGCCACATTCATCCATTCTGAAATGTTCTTTATAATGATAGCCGGAAATGACATATATGCAAAATGTGGTGAGTCATTATTACAAGTGTAGATGTCTTTTGGGAAATGGTCTAAACGTGGTTCATTTATGTGCATTCATTCACTCTTATGCACCTTTCCAAGACAGGGTTGATTTATTGCCTTATAAACACCGTGTGATCGACTGACACTAAATATGGCTAAACGGTGGATAAATGGAGATGAGAGCGCAAAACAAATGCTGGGAAGGGTTCTTAAAGAGAGACCATTGCTGCTTCTGCCTCACCCCCTTCATAGGATACCTCTTGTTGTCAGCAACATTGTTGAGATTGTAGGCCCATCTCCTTCTGCCAAAACTGAGATTTTGCTGCAGGTGGCTGTTAGTTGCATTCTTCCCAAGAGTTGGAATGGGGTGCAATATGGAGGTTTGGAACATTCTGTGTTGTTCTTGGACTTGGATTGTCGACTTGACATCTTTCGCCTTTCTCATTGTCTAAAGCTACGAATAACTGAAGCTAATAGATTGCACAAAATCACAAAGAAACAAAAGGGTTTTGATGTTTCTAACCATATTCCAGAGCATCAATGCAAGTATGATGACATGGACTTGTTTACAGAGTGCATGAAACGGTTTTCATACACCCGATGTTATGATAGTTTTGAGTTTCTTGCTGCTTTAAAGGTATTGCATCACAAACTTGAGAAAGAAAGAAACATGGATGGCAGTGGTGTTCATGTCCTTATGATCGACAACATTGGAGCATTTTATTGGATCAATCGTGGTTTCTCATCACTGCCACAAGGGAACCCCAACAGGAAAAACTTTTCTCTTCAAAGTGTGTTTGAAACTGTTGTTCCTGAGATTAAGAAGCTCTTGCTGCTGCATCCCATGCTTGTTTTAGCTACAAAGATGGTTACATATCAAGTCAAAAGTTCATATTCTAGCTGGGTTTCAGGTGTTGCTTCAGAAGTGAACATCGGAAAAGGCACCTATCGTGAGTATATGCCATCAATTTGGCAGTCCTTTGTCACACACAGAATTCTTGTGAGAGCTTCGGATGACAAAAGAAAGCTCCAGGACCGAGTTTGCTATTTGGCAGAGTGGTTATTGCCGGCTCTAAATCTCACAGATGAGTTTGTTGTTGGGGACGCTGGAATTTTGATGTCGTTGTGAGGATAACAACCCCACAAATGGGCATGAAATTGATTTTTTGACAATTGAACAGTTTGCCTGAAGAGGGCTCTGCCTGAACATTAAATCCCAAGGGGACCTTTATGGAGGTCTTAGAACTCTTTTACAACTCTGATGACAAACAGTGGTGGAAAGACACACAAAGCAGAGAGATTTCTTGTGGATAACAGATGGAGTTAGCCAATGAAAAGCATTTCCCATGTAATTTCTCTTCTTTTCAAAAGACAAGTAAAAACGTTTAAACTGGAATTTTGTTACCAAAATGTGTCGAAACTAGATCAATGCTAGAGGAGGGACAAAAGTCCTTGAAAATGTGCATTACTTCATATTTTTAGATTGTAAATTCTCTCAAGCCGTCAATACTTCATTCAAAAATAGAGTTAAAATGGTAATCCTCTGTTATTCAGAATATTTATCAAATGGTCATTTTCTGTTTAGGACTTGATTTAGACAGTTTGAATCATGAGACTCCATCATTTAGGACTGTCAAATATATAGGTTTTAGGATGAAGATTTTTGAACATCATTTGTGCGTGATTATTGACCAGATCCACGAAACAAATCTCAAGTCCTTTATTATAGAGACAAGATTCAAGAAATGTTCCTATTACCTCTAATTATGCTGATTGCTGAGGATATTGTTCATGTTTCGATCTTAACAATTGGCTGGGGAACTGTAATCCATGGACCATAAAAAAGTGTTAAGAGGATGTGATGTGTGGGTTTCTGTTAACAGAAAAAGGAATCATCTGTTACTTGCACCAAGATTGAAAGCTATTTTTCATTTGTCATTAGAACTAATGATGTCCATATCTCATACCTGTTATCTTTCTACCTTGATGGCTTGATTTATGATTCTGTGGAATAAATAATATGAGAATGTTGCCTTGCTTATATCATCTTGTAGGAAAGAAGCCATGGAATGAAGCGAACTGTTGCCAGTTTTCAGTTTTCAGGACATAACAGGGTTCGGCCAGCTTCATCTCATTGGAATATAACTTGTGCGCGATTTCCAGAGCTTGACAACCTAATGGCCCATTTTAATTCAATTTTTTTATTATAATTTAATTTAGGTACAATAACGAAGTAATTTATATTTGGTTTAATAATATATTTTTCTTATAAAGATAATAATTAATTATTTTTTTAGAACTCGATAATTAT